TCTGAGTGAAGTATCCCAGAAGGAGAAAGACAAACTTGGTATATACTTGCTTATATAGACCTACAAGATATGATAAACATAATGAAATCTACACACCTAAAGAAGATAATCAAGAAAGTGGACACAGGTGAAGGTGATTAATCCTCATTTAGAAAGACAAATGGGATGTGCATTGAACTTATGACAGGAGTCTACCACAAAAGGCATCTGAAAGACTCTACCTAGCAGTGTTTCAAAGCAGACACTAAGACTCATAACCAAACCCTCGGCAGAGTGCAGGGAATCATATGAAAGAAGGGAAGTTAGTATGATATGGAAAGGATAGGAGCTCTACAAGGACCAAATATATCCGGGCACAGGGTCTTTTCTGAGACTGACACTCAACCAAGGACCATCTATGGATATAACCTAGAACTTCTGCTCGGATGTGGCCCGTGGTAGCTCAGTAACCAAGTAGTTTTCCAAAGTAAGGGGAACAGGGACTATTTCTAACAGGATCTCAAGGGCAGGCTGTTTGACCCCCCCCCCCCCAGGGGAGGAGCAGTCTGTTAGGCCACAGAGGAGGACTTTGCAGCCAGCCCTGAAGATACCTGATAAAACAGGGTCAAATGAAAGGGGAGGAGGTCCTTCCCTATCAGTGGACTTGGAAAGGGGCAGGGAGGAGACCAGGGAGGGAGTGTGGGGTTTGGGAGAGAATGAGGGAGCGGGATACAGCTGGGACACAGAGTTAACAAAATATAACTAAAAAGAAAAATAAAATTAAAAAAAAAGAAAAGAAAAAAAACTGTTCATTCAGTTCTATCTATGCAATAATTTTTTTTATTTAACTTTTATTAATTACACTTTATTTATTTTGTATCCCCCCATAAGCCCCTCTCTCCTTCCCTCCCTGTCCCCCCTCACCCCCTTTCTGCATGCATGCCCCTACCCAAGTCCACTGATAGGGGACGTCCTCCTTTCCTTCTTTCTGATCTTAGTCTATCAGTTCTCATCAGAAGTGGCTGCATTGTCAGGGTTCTAGGTTAATTTTTTTTTTCCTTAGCCTTTGGAGTAGAATGGCATGAGTTATTTTACCAGGAAACTCATTAGCTCAGCCATGGAATTTTTGCGTGTAGTTTAATTCCTCAATATTCCACATAAACTGGTCCTTGTGGAATACATTACTACTGCTGACATCTACCCTTCCTACTTCCTATCTGTATACCAATGGGTTTCACTGTACCTCTGACACTCAACTAGAATGTAAGAACATTCTCCACTGTACTTTATTGCTCATTTACTATGGCTCAACAAAAAAATGTACTCTCAACACTGTCTTAATTAAAAATTACGCAACAAAATTATTATTTTTCCTTCCAGGACATATTTTTCCCCTCAAATATAAAGCAATTTTCTGTATATAAACGTTGAACATTTTGCTGCAGAAATAACCTGATATTCACCAAAACCATGGCACATGTCTTGAAGCAAGCCGTCCATCTCTGTCTTAGAAACTGATGACAGTACAATCTTAAGAAAGGTGATTTCTTTTTGTTTGTTTTTGCAAAATGTTCCACACTGGTGGGATTTTTGACACATCAATTCTTATTAGTTACATTTTTTTTCCAGAGTGTCTCAGAGAATTGTCAACATTATGTCACACACTTGAGACAAGTTGGCAGAAATATCTTCCAGGGATAAAGGCAAGTATTTATTTTCCATGAGTTATTTTAAATGATGGTTGAAGTTAGTTATTAACTGGTTTTCTTGAATATATTTATTCTTTAAACAGATTATATGGGAAAACAAAATTGCAAAGTTGAATCTTTTGGGCTTAATTAACTGAACACACTGCTTTACTGGGACAGTCAGCTTTATCATCCAGGAGGCAAGAAATGATAGGAGAGACATGACTTCCAGTAAACCTACCATTTTCATAAGCTAAGATTGAATATAACAAAGCAGCAGAAGTAGAGAATATACAATCCTGATACTAATTATGTCCCTTGGTGATAAATGTAGGTACATTTGAGTTGATATCAGCTTAAAAGATTTAACAGTGGAATATGCAGTTTTACCTTCCCAAATTATGTGAGCCTACTTATTTGCTAGGAGGGACATATCATATGACTCACAAATGTGACTTTAATGTTTTTTCTTTGAAAAAAAAGCTGCTTATTAACGTGGGTTCACAAAACTCTATCTTTCCTTAGTTGTTCACCAAGTGTTATTTAAACAAATGAACAGGTTTCGTACTAGACTGAGTCAGATATATAGTGTTGTGGCTTGAATGATAATGATCCCTATTGGTTTATATATTTAAAACTTGGTCCTTAGATGGCAAAACTCTTTGGAAAGGATTAGGAGGTATGGCCATGTTGGATGAGGTTTGTCACAGGTAATGGGTGGGCTGTGAGGTTACACAAGGCTTAAAATAATCCCAATGTCCTCTCTGGGGTGGGAACTCTCAGCCACTGTCCCACATCATGCCTTCCCATCTGTTAGCATGCTCCCTGCTATGATGCTGTTGGACTCCTATCTCTCTGGAAACATGAAAACACACCTTTTTTTCTAAGTTACTGTGATCATGCTGTTTTATTAAAGCAATGGAAAACTAACTAATGCACATGGATTATGTTCATGCAAACAAGAGCATCTGAGAGACACTTATCCAGGAAAGAGTCTACCTGGAAACTTTACCAAAACATCCATGGACCCAAAAACTAAGGTTGTGGGGAATTACAACATTGCACAGCAGGTCTTCTCCCTGCAAAACCACTCCTTGACATTGCTGTCAAAGTATCCTTCTTTACCATACACAGCATTACATTCTTGAGGCAGACACCCCATTAATGAATATAGTAGCAGCTCTCTTAAACACTTGCTGGACAAAAAAAAATGCACATACAACATGTTACCAGTTTGGCGCAGCAACACACATCAAGATATGCCTCGGTGACTATAATATGCAGCAAGACCCCCAGATTACCTTTCACGATGAGACTGCCACTGCTTTTCCCATTGCCAAACTGATTTGTGGCTACGCATGTATAAGACCCAGCGTCAGACCTGGTCACATTGCATATCTTAAGGCTGCCATCCTCCAAGAAGAATACCCTAAAAAGAAAATACAAAATGAAAGGCCATTTGACAGGAATAAATCATAAATATTTTCAAATATTAGTTAAATTATGAATACATGAAAATCCTTATTTAGAAACATTTTAAATCTAGACATTGGAATGAAAACTCAAATAAGATTTGAGTTCACACAGATAAATTATGTTATCACTTGAATGATTACTGTTTATTTCAGGGCATCTTAAAAATTACATAATTGAGTACTCAATGCTCTTAACACTCAAATGACTGATGAATAAGAAGTGTTTTGTCACACATTTGAAATGGTCAATTCTCCTCTGAAAATTGAACTCAAATTTTGGAAAATGGAGGCCAAACTTCACATTTAATCAGTGCAATCAGAAATCAAGTCCTTTATTGCATTTTTGATGACCAAGCAAGGTGTGAATCATGAGAATTTCTTTGCTAGACAGTTGGGAGGACCATCTACATGGTGCTGTGCTCATTATGTAGCACATCATTACAAAAGTAGCAGAGGAAAGTATAAGCATGAATTAGTCATGTGCCACCTGGAATTAAATATTCTTACACCATATAGTAAAAAAAAAAAAGTGAAATAGCTAATACATCATAGTCTTTCACAGAATGGTTCACATCAAGTTTTCTCTGACATCCAGAAATGCTCCAAGCACACATCATAACTCTAATGTAAATAGAGAAAACCCAAGCATGTTCTTCCTTACCTCATCAAAATTTTTTTTGCATTTCTTTTTTTATTTATTTTTAAAATTATTATTATTATTATTATTATTAATTATACTTTATTCATTTTGTATCCCCCCATAAGCCCCTCCCTCCTCCCCTCCAGATCCCACCCTACCTCCCCTTTCTGCATGCATGCTCCTCCCCACGTCCACTGATAGGGGAGGTTCTCCTCTCCTTTCTTCTGATCTTAGTCTATCAGATCACATCAGGAATGGCTGCATTGTCTTCTTCTGTGGCCTGGTAAGGCTGCTCCCCCCTCAGGGGAAGGTGATCAAAGAGCAGGCCAATCAGTTTATGTCAGAGGTTATTCACTTTGTATCCCCCCTGTAACTCCCTCCCTCTTCCCCTCCCAGTCCCTCCCTTCATCCCCCTTCTCCACGAGTTAAAGAAAAAAAGGAAACCAATAAACCTCTTTTTTTTTTTTTTCAAATTGAAGTTCCCATTTCTATGCCATACCATGTTACTTTGATATATTTCAAAAACATTGTTTTAATAATAATGATTGGTATTCAGGACTCTACCAAAGAAAGTTGCAATCAACTAATATTAATGACTACAGTTTTCAAAGGAAGATGGGCAAGCCTATTTGCATGCATGTCATACCTATTAAAAGTAACAAAATGTTATTTGTAGAAGTACGAACAGATCATTGTTTTTAATATGTGTAACACAAAATGGAGCTAATATAATTAATTACCCAATTTGAGCCACAGAGACTATCAGCAAACTAGAATTTACATGAAACCACTGTCAGATCCTGGGCTAACTACTGAAGAAGAATTCCAAATTCCTGTCAGTGAGCGGAAAAGGATTTAGAATGGTCTAGGCCATGCAATTTATGATATGGCAGTATACTCCCAGAGCAGATGTGCACTATAGTTCTGATATTGGAAGCATCTGGTCTAATAAATACAGACTCACCATAAATTGAAAAACAGCACATCACTGATACAGTAACAAAGTTATTTTAGTATACAATACACAGCCTTTACCTGACTTAATGAGAAGAGGAAAGCATAACAGACAATGCTGTGAATTCACTACTTCTAGCAGAGAATAACAACTTCCCACAGCCTAAAATCTGTTACTATTGGCTAATAAAAAAATCATGGTATTAAAACGCATCATTTTGCTACTACGTAACAATAAGCAAGCAGTCCTCAAACACAACAACAAGAAAAGTAAATAAGAATGCATACAACCATAATCAAGCTACAGTACTTAGAGATTAGGCAAAAGGCAAACTATGTACTGATAGAATAGTTGCCTCAGAATTTTGGCAACATTTACATAGAAACATAAAGGTTGATATTTCATTACACCTGTTTTGGGATATTTGCAAAGAAAGATTATCAGAAGATTTGTCTGTGACATATGAATGAAGGATTATGAAGTATTCTATCTACACTACATTTAGGCTTCATTAGAATTTAAAGAACAGTGTGCAGACATGATACATATAAATTTGATTACCTATCAAAAATCAGGAAGAACATTCTGATAATAAAAATGATAATTTGAATGAATGGTCAGCAAAGGGAATACAAATTGCAGAGAAGAAAGTATCTGTGGTTGTGAGCATAGCCTTTAACAGCTGAGAGGACCCTTGGGAGGATGCTTAATTATCATTCAGAAACAAACAGGATAGACACCTGAATCAGTGGAAGAGAGGGAACAGGACAGGAGCCTACAATAGATGTCCTCTAAAAGACTACCCAGCAGGGAATCAAAGCAGATGCAGACTCACAGCCAACCTTTGGGCAGAGGGCAGGGAGTCTTATGGAAGAAGGGGTAGTGGTAGAAGCAGGACTCCAGAGGGGTCAGGAACTCCACAAAGAGACCAACAAAGCCAAAAATTCTGGGCCCAGGCAGGGCTGCAAGGACTGATTCATCAACCAAGGACCATGCATGGAGAGGACCTAGACCGACTGCTCAAGGGCAAAGGGAGTTCAGTCTCCATGTGGGTTCCCTAGTGGGGAACAGTGGCTGTCTCTTATAGGAACTCAGTGGCCTGTGCTTTGATGACTTCCTCCTGGTGGGGACCTTGCAAGAGAAAGAGGTCCTAGGTAGTCCTGATGAGACTTGATATTCTAGGATTGGGTAGTAAGGGAGGGGGACTCTGCCTTTCAGGGGACTATGGAGGGGATGGGATGGAAAAGAGGGAAGGGGGAACTGGGGGGATATGAGGAAAGGGGCTACATTCAGGATATAAAGTAAATAAACTGTAAAAAATAAAAACAGAAGAAAGTAAAATAATAATAATAATTTGGTCTACTATATACCTTTCAATTTCAGACTTAAAGATAAAGCACAGATTATGTAAGTTAGTTTGGATGACTGTGAATACCCATGGAGTTATAGGAAGGTTTCCAACAATTCAAAAGAAATTTATAGGCAATCAAGAACTGAGTAACGTTAAAACTGATTTTTCTTCTTAGGTTATTAATCCAATGTTTGCTAGACATCTATGTTGAAGCAGCTTCAACATTGTTTGTTATGAAAATATGCAGCCAGGCCTGATAAGATCTGATAAACTAGGGTCAGATAGAAGGGGGGAGGACTTGGAGAGGAGAATGGGAGTAGACTAGGGAGGGAGGGTGGGATTGGGAAGGAATGAGGAAGGGGCTACAGCTGGGATACAAAGTGAAAAAGCTGTAATTAATATAAAAAACAAAAAGAAAAAAAAAAAAAACTCCATGCATTGTTCGTGGTTGGGTATCAGTCTCTGCAGGTTCCCCGGGGCTCAGTTTTTATGGTTCTGTTGGTCTCCTTTTGGAGCTCCTGTCCACTACAGGTCTTTCTATCTCCCCTTTCTTTCATAAGATTCCCTGCCCTCTGCCCAAAGTTTGGCTATGTGTATCAGCATCTACTTTGATACCCATGCTGGGTAGTCTTTCAGAGGCCATCTGTGGTAGGCTCCTGTCATGTTCCCTGTCTTTTCCCATTTCTGATGTCTTTCCTGTTTGCCCTTCTGAATAAGGATTAAGCATCTTTCCTAGGGTCCTCCTTGTTATTTAGCTTCTTTATGACTATAGAATACAGTTTGTTTATCCTATATTATATTTAATATTTAGATGATCAGAGCTATTTAATACCTAAATGTCCAGCTCTTTTTATGTAGTAGGACATTGATATTACCTGTCACAGTCATGCATATTGAATGACACTAATACTTTGAAAAAATTAATACAGTCTCTGACTCTAGCTAGACTTCAATAAGTTTTTAATTAACAGACTTCATATCTTATCTTAAAGTTTACAAACAATTTCTTAACTACTTGAGGAAAAAAAAAAACAGAAAAAGGAGCAAATATCACAGCTCAATTTGAACTCAGTCATCTAAAAGTTATATCCCAAAGTTTAAAGTAAACGTTTTTGATTTGACACATATGTTTTCATATATTTGTACGGGATCATGTGGTAGTTAGTTTCATGGATGCACTACATTAATAAATTCATGGCAATTAACATAGCTACCACTTTAAACTTTTATCATTCTTTTATGGTAAATATATTTGCATTTATCTCTTCTAATTATTTGACATACATAATACATTACTGCTGATTTTATTCACCCTCAACATTGGGCTAGAAAACAGCAGAACCTACTCCTCAAAGAACAGTGCTATGCTCACTGAATGAGGTCTTACCTTCCCTTTTCCTACTTTTTTTCTCTAGATCATTACTCTTCAACCTAGTCTCTATGATAGCAGACTTTTATGATATTCACTCATTAGTGAGATAATGCAGTATTTATCTTTCCATACTTGACACTTGAATGTGTGTGTGTGTGTGTGTGTGTGTGTGTGTGTGTTGACATGGGTGGATCTAGAAGACAGGATGCTGGGGGTTGAAAGGAGTGTAATGCCAATGAGATGATTCTAGCAGCGAGTTACAATGCTTACTCTCCTCTTCATGATATTTGTCTGTGTTTTGCCATTTAATAGAGTTGTTACGAAAATTAAATTCATTAAATGCTGGTTATTCCTTCCATTATTGTTCAGTTCAATGCTTACCTTACTATTTGGTCTTCTGCTTTGTGCCATGATTAAAACTACGATATCGATATCAACGTAGCTTTTGGTTGTGGCTGGCACTCACTGTCTTAAAAATTTGTCTATTTTGGTTCCAGCAGCTTGGTTTCTGTCTTAGCTCATCTATATTTATCTGTTCCTGGGCTGTCTTTTGTTTTGGTGTCAACAAGTTTGACACTTGATTTTTTTCTCTATGTTTCACGAAAACAGTCTTTCCCCTGTCTTTATTCTCAAGTA